CTAATCTATCTTATTAAGATGCCAAAACATTTTATCTGATGCATTGAAATGTATTATACTCGCGCGCCCGCACACACACACACACACACACATATATATATATATATATGTATATACATACATATATATATATATATGTATATATAATATGTTATATATAATTATATAACATATATGGGCGGTTATAATTTATTCCATTGAGTTTAATTCAATTTAAATGGATTTATATTTCATTCAGAAAATATTCGTCAACTAGCTATGCCTCTCCGATTGCTATTGTTGTTTGTTCTTTGTTATTGATGTATTTATAAATTATTATTATTATGGTAATTGTTACTGTTACTGTATAATTATTATTATTATGGTAATTGTTACTGTGACGTCACCGTAATAACATCGTTACGCCCGCCAAGATTGGCTGTGCTGAATTCTGAATTTTAAAGTAGTTAATGTTAATCAGTTGGAGAGTTGTACTTGAATGAGATGAATATTCCAAAACGTTCATAACGTAATTAATTAATAATAACATTAATAATATCATTAATGATAACAACAACATTAATAATGATAATGACATTCGACTATTACATTAAAAAAAATTAACTTTTCTCACCGTTACTAACGCTGCTACTACCGTTATTGGTACTACTACTACTACTGCTGCTGCTTCTACTATTACCACTATTATTACTACTTGAAATACTATATATATAAGTATAGGATGTCGTCCTCCAGTCTCAATAGTATTGCAAGTAGGATTGTGATGCTGAAGGAGAGGCTTAAAGTAAACGAAAATAAGTTGAAACTTTGCAACGGTTCTTCTGAGAATTCTTTTTATTTCGATAACAATAATCATAATAATAATAATACTAATAGTATCAATAACAATAATATCGATAGTAAATGCGTTAATAACGATAATAATAATAACTGCTCTGGGGATAAGTTTCGTTGTCTTCTGTACGAAGGTATTGAATTTGTTGAAGAATATCACAATAACGATAATAATAATAAAATAAATTATTATAATAATAATATTTGTAACAATAATAATTTCGATGACGACGACGACGATGATGATTGCTGCAATAGTATTTATTTCTTCATAGAGCCGTTTACGGTTCCTAATTTCTATTGCAGATGTACGCTCAGCGGTTTCCGTAATAAAAACGGAAAGGGTGTACACTACGTTAGTGAAGTTAGCCACATTGTTAATGTCAATACTTTGAGTCTTACTGCTGCCGCTGCTGCTGTTACTACTATTACCACTGCTGCTGCTACTACTACTGCCGAAAAATCAAATTTTACTGACGATAATACGGTAAATATAGATAGTAGTAGCAATAGTAAAATGTTGAAAAATTCGTTAGGTAATAAGAAGCATTCTACAATTTACGATATAGGTAGGCCTAATGACGTTTGTAGTTGTAGTACCGCCAGTGTTCTTGGGGACCATAGAATGGTGAATAAATTCATACCTCTGACGTCATCCTCTTCTTCCGTAGATAAATATGTGAGTGACGAATGGTCATCATCAACGTTCGCCGATATATATGATGTGGGTGATGATTCAAGTTTGGAGTTTAGGAATTTAGCGTGCAATTGTTATATCTATGGTACTTATCTCGAGTCATACTGTGAGGTTAAGCGTTATCATTGTCGTTGCTCTAATAGTACTAGTATTAGTAGTAGTAGTAGTAGTATTAGTAGTAGTAGTAATAATAATAATAGTGACGATAATGATGAAGACGAGAAAGTTGAAGAGTATCTAAATTATCAAAGTTTTCAATGCAATTGCTACTTAAACAGTGACTATGGTTCTGTTAAACGTGAAGAAAATAACTTTAATTTCTCAAAACATTCAGATTTCGTCGATTCTATTACTACTATTATTACTAATACTATTACCACTACTACTAATACTACTGCTGCTGCTACTACTACTACTAATACTACTACCATATGTAATAACAGTTGTAATGGTAATGGTGATTTCGGTATTTTTGATTTTTATGGCACACCAAACTCAAGTTGTAACTGTCATGTTGGTAAAAAAATGATGGAGGGTAAAAGTAATGAAGAGACCGCTGGTGGTTTAGTAGGCGGAGTTAATGTAGCTAAAAATAGATTTATCAGTTTAAAATGTCATTCAAAGGGTCTCGAGAGTGATTATGATGGTTATGGCAACAACCACAGCAATAGCAGAGACAAACAGCTGATAAAAAACAACCTGAATGACGACAGCAATGACATTAACGGCATCGATAGCTGCAACGGCGTTTATAGCAGTACCGAAAATAATAACTACATCAACAGCAGCAACAAGAATGACACTTACTACAACAGCATCAAAAACATTCAAAATGTACTTGAACCCTCTCAGAGCGTTTCCCTTTCTACTGAGAAAGAGTTCTTAGAACAGATTTTGGACAGTATAATTATTAACAATACGAATCTTACTAAATCTACAAACGATGACGATGATGGTAATTGTAATAGAAATTATAGTGAAGACAATGTGACTATTGCCAATCCCTGGTTTACTAACAATGCGTCATTCGATGATAAGTTTGAAGACAAAAATATCGATAACAACTACAATAACACCGATAAAAATAACAATAATCATAACAATAACAATAGTAACGATATTAATGATAATAAACCTAAAAATGGTAAAATCTTTCAATTGGTGCCAAAAGTGTCAGGCCCTATCACGGACTACCCCATAGATTATAAAGAACATCTGCTCTGTTCTCACCAAAAGTACGGCAAGTCGATCAGCCCCATTATAAATATAATAGAGGATGGTAGGTATATCGAGTTAATCTCGAGTTCATCGCAAACTGATAATAATAATAATAATAATAAATGTAACAATAATAATAATAAATATAATAATAATAATGACGTGTGTGATAACGTCAACGACAAAGTTTTTGCAGAGATGTCCTTCTATCAAAGCCAGATTCAGAGTTATTATGACAACGAGAAGAAGCGTTTAAAAAGTCAAGGTCACGGTCACCATCATCATCGTCAAGGTCAAAATAATCGTCATTATCATCATCACCACCATCAACAACAGCAGCAGCAGCACGATCATCATCATCATCATCTGAGTAGCCAAAATCATCATCATCGTCATCATAATTATCGTCATCACGACTACAAACCTCCAAAGGAACGGAATGACTGCTTTACTAAAAACATCAACAACAACAACGTTATCGTTACGTCACTAACAACAACAACGACAAATTCCCTTTTCACTGTTTTAGAGGAAGAGGACAGTTCCAATACCCCTACAACTGCCGTCAACGTCACCAATAATAATAATGATGACGTCACGGTTGTTAGCGCTGATGATGATGAGAATGATAGTAATAATAATAATAATGTTGTATTAATTTATGCTAAGAAATGCTAAAACTACCTTTCATGTTGTAGATAATATATAGTCATTTTGTGCAATATTATGTATATTTATAGATGGATGGATGGGTAGATAGATAGACAGACAAATGGATAGATAGAAAGAAAGGCAGAGAGAGAGAGTGAAAGAGAAAGAGAGAGAGAGAGAGAGACGCAGGCATATACATATAATAATAGCTGATATTGATTGATGATGAGGAAAATTCTACTTTTTTAATGGAAATTTTCTGTTCTCGATAATGAGATTGTTACTACTGTTACTGTAAGAATCAGAGTTATTATTATTACTATTGTTATTGTTATTATTGTTATTATTATTATCATTGTAGTTGTTGTTAGTGTTATTGTTGTTGTTTTACACTATTATTATTATTTTTATTATTGTTGTTGTTGCCGCTTGTGCTACTATTATCGTCTTGTCATTTGGATATTTTTAATGAACTTGACACAGAGCGACAATACGCACACACACACACACACACACGCACACACGCATGTATATATATATATATATATATATATATATATATAATGAAATACATACATATGCATACATACGTACATAGAAATGAATAATTAAATTTTTTTCTATCATAATGTTCATCCTTCAAATTTCTTGGTTTGGGACCTAATGGGTAGAAACTTTGAGTATTCTTCTGAATTCTTTGAATTGAATTTCGAATTGAATGCACACACACACAGAGACACACACACACGCACACACACACGCACTTACACACAGACACACACAAACAAACTCACACACAGACAAACACACACATGCATACATGGATGGACAGTAACGTAACATGAATGTTTTTACAATAACAACACAGACGTTACCACCAAGCAATTCGACCACAAAATGTTGTGAAGAGGCACAGATGAAAAGAGTATGTGTCGATTGATTGATTGATTGGTTGGTTGGTTGGTTGGTTGGTTGATTCATTCATTCATTCATTCATTCATTCATTGATATATTGTATATTATCATCGTCATCGTAATCATCATCATCAGAATCATCACAATCTTCATCATCATCACAATCTTCATCATCATCACAATCATCATCATCATCACAATCACCGTCATCATCATCATCATCACAATCACCGTCATCCTCATCAGGAGGTGCGTTATAGGAACCAACCAGCTCAGCAGAAGAACAAATGTGATAGGTCCATGTCTGCCTCTTCAGCTGAGAGCTACAACACAAGTGATGACGACGACGACGATAATAATGATGATGATAGTATAATGATGATGGTTTTGACGATGATAGTTATAATGATGACGGTTTTGATGATGGTAGTTATAATGATGATGGTTTTGATGATGATAATTGTTGCTGCTGTTGTTGTCGTTGTTGTTGTTGATGGTGATGAATGTGATGACGATTGTCATAAAGGAAGTAGTGATGATGATGACGATGATGATTGTGATGATGATGATCGTCATAAAGGATGTAGTGATGATGATGACGATGATGATTGTGATGATGATGATGATGATCGCCATCCTGATCTTCAAAGGTAGCTCGGACGACGATGACGACGACACCAATCCGCGGGAGAGCATTCAGGTTGTGACTATGGAATGAAATATTTTGTTACCACTCTACTGTACATAAATTATGTTAATTTCTACGCGCCTGCTATGCTACGACGATAATTATGCATAAATTATGTTAACTGGGTACGTAAAATTAACTCTTTATTAGAAAACGAGCAAGGGGTTTCAGGATTTTTGCGTTAGGAACATGCAGCAAGCGGCTTTCGGCAGAAGGGAGATTGAAATTGCCGAGCAAGGTTCCGACCTCACTGCTGTCGTTGCTGATGATGACGTCATTGTTGTGGCTGTCGTTGCTGATGATGACGTCATTGTTGTGGCTGTCGTTGTTGATGATGACGACATTGTTGTGGCTGCTAATGATGATAAATGATAAATGCGTTGGCTATTTGAGTGCTGTTTCGTCATCAACAACAACAATAATAATTATTATTATTGTTGTTGTTGTTATTATTATAGAAATGCTCGGTTTAATGACCTTAAGAAGAAAAGGTCAAACTGACAAGCCCTTGATTGGGGCAAAGATCATTGGATGCACGCACATCACTGCTCAGACTGCTGTTAGTGATGATGTTGATGATTGTTATTATTATTATTGTTGTTGTTGTTATTTTTATTGTTGATTTTTTTTTATCATCATCCAGGTGTTAATAGAGACTCTACACTCTCTTGGTGCCCAAATCAGATGGTGCGCATGCAACATATACTCAACACAGGTAGGCCAAACTCGTTAACATAATTTATTCATAAACTATGGCTTGTAGTCTCAAATAGGTTGCTTATGATCGTAATTAATTATACGTTTTGTTATACTTTTAATTGTTTAATTACTTTGATTCGTTCGTTATAAAACCTTATTGCTGCTATTCATGATTTTAAAAAAACCGACCAATCAGAACGAAGTTGCAGCGGCATTGGCTGAGGCGGGCTTCTCAGTATTTGCTTGGAAGGGCGAATCAGAGGCCGACTTTTGGTGGTGCATCGATCGCTGCATCCAATCAGATAACTGGCAGCCTAATTTGGTGAGCTCTGATTGATCCAGTTTATTTTCAATAATTCATATTGAAAACTTCTGATCGGCCTATTTGAATAAAATAATTCGTATTTAAATTTTTCATGGGTCCACTTAGTAATGGTAATTACAATTATAATTACAATACTTTTAAAATTAATTTGCTAAATAAAATTAACACGGGTTATTATCAATTTTTCTTTGTTGTTTTTTCTTTGTTGTTTTCCGCCAAAGATATTAGACGACGGTGGCGATGCGACCCACCTAATCCTAAAAAAGTACCCCGCCATATTTGGATTAGTGAAAGGAATAGTGGAGGAGAGTGTGACCGGGGTGCATAGGTTGTACCAGCTCTCCAAATCGGGCAAGTTGTCGGTGCCCGCCATGAATGTTAACGACTCGGTCACTAAGGTAGTAGTGATGCTGCTCTTGCTGTTGTTGTTTGCAATTTGTTTGTGTTTGTTTGTGATGAACGATGATGATAATGATGATAATAATAATAATAACGAAAATTATTATGATCATAATTATTATTATAATTATTAATGTTATTATGATCATAATTATTATTGTTATTATAATTGTTAATGTTATTTTTATTAAATCAACAGACAAAGTTTGACAACATGTATAGCTGCAGAGAATCAGTCTTGGACGCGTTAGCAATTACAGACCTACCTAACTAATTAACTTAATTAATTAATTAATTGAATGAATTGATTAATTAATTAATAATTAATTGAATAAATAAATTAATTAATTAATTAAATTTGAAAGATTAAAAAGAACCACAGATATAATGCTCGGCGGCAGGCAAGTTGTAGTCTGTGGCTACGGAGAGGTTGGCGCTAATTAATTAATGTTAATTTATGTTAATTAGTCAAACGAAGTGATCCCACTGGCTGATGGAGATTTATTACTGACCTAATTATAATTTTAGGTCGGTAAGGGCTGTTGTCAAGCCCTGAAGGGCATGGGGGCGGTTGTCATGGTTACGGAGATTGATCCAATTTGTGCTTTGCAAGCCTGGTTACTATTATAGCTATTATTATTATTGTTATTATTATTATCATTATTATTATTGTAAGCAGTAGTAGCAGTTGTTGTTGTTGTTGTTGTTGTTGTTGTAGTAGTAGTAGTAGTAGAAGTAGTAGTAGTAGTAGTAGTAGTAGTAGTAGTAGTAGTAGTAGTAGTAGTAGTAGTAGTAGTGGTAATGGTAGGTAGTGGTAGTAGTAGAAGTAGTAGTAGTAGTAGTAGTAGTAGTAGTAGTGTCGATGATGATGATAATTAAGACGATGACGATGGTAATGACAGTTTTGATGTTGATAATGATAATACGAATGGCGATGATGATGATGAAATAGATGATGATGGTGATGATGAAATAGATGATGATGATGATGATTTTTTTGCCACCCATAAATAGTATGGACGGTATGAAGGTAGTTAAACTGAGCGAGGTCATAAAATCTGCCGATCTCGTCATCACGTGTACAGGTCTGATTAACTGAATGAGTGAATGAATGAATGAAAGATTGAATGAGTGTACGAATCTGAATGAATGATTGAATGAATGATTGAATGAATGAGTGAATGAATGAGTGAATGAATGAGTGAATGAATGAGTGAATGAATGAGTGAATGAATGAATGAAAGATTGAATGAGTGAATGAATGAATGAGTGAATGATTGAATGAATCAATGAATGAGTGAGTAAACGACTGAATAAGTCAATTAGTGATTTGATGGATTAGCGAATTTTCTATTGAAATAATGATCTGTTGGTTGGTTGGTTACTTGACCAATCATTAAATAGTTATCAACCACGACCTACTTCAGCGACCAGTCATCAAATGGTAATCAACTATGACCTACTTAATCGACCAATCAGGTAACAAGAATGTAGTGACGAGAGATTTGATGGACAAGATGAAGAACTCTTGCATCGTCTGCAACATGGGACATTCTAATAACGAAATTGACGTGGTAAACATTAGCGACCTCTCATGTATTTTTATTTTATTTCCAATCAAAACAACTTTTACACGAGCAATTTAATCGGCCAATCAGATTAGAACGTCTTTTTCGCAAATATTCAAATCGTCCAATCGCGTAACATTAACAAATACAAGCACGTACTCTTGAAGCAGCAGAATAAACTTTATTCAAATTATACTGACCAATCACAAAACGGTATTTAAACTATTATCCAATCACACACAGAACAGCCTTCGTACCCCTGACCTGACATGGGAGAGGGTTAGATCCCAAGTCGACCACATCATCTGGCCAGATGGTAAAAGGATAATATTGATAGCTGAGGTATGTGTGTGCGTGCGTGTGTGTGTTGTGTGTGTGTATCTATGTTTGTATGCATACTCCCACCCCAGGGTCGCCTAATAAACCTCAGCTGTTCAAGCATTCCGTCGTTCGTTGTGTCTGTCACGGCGGCCACACAAGCTCTCGCCCTCATTGAGCTCTTCAATGCACCTGCTGGTAGATACAAACAAGACGTCTATCTACTGCCTAAGAAGATGGGTACGTTTGAATGAATGAATGAATGAATGAAAGAATGAATGAATGAATGTTGTGGTGACCTTTTGACCTAGCGCTAGAGTGCCTGAGATTCAGAGCCTATCCTATCATGTGCATCTTTCATTGGTTGTTGCGCCATTCAGTTACATAGGCTAAACTATGTGAATGAAAATTTTCAGTAATTATTATAACCATAATTTGTATACTCTTTATAATTTTCACCAGAATTATTATAATTATAATACAGACGAGTACGTGGCCAGCTTACACCTGCCCAGTTTTGACGCTCACCTGACAGAGTTAACGGACGAGCAAGCAAAATATCTAGGCCTCAGTAAGTGCGGACCTTTCAAGCCTAATTATTATAGGTTGGTTGCTTCTTGTTTATGCTCTTTGTTGTTTATGTACTTTGTTGTTTATGTTTTTTGTTGTTTATGTTCTTTGTTGTTTATGTTCTTCGTTGTTTATTTTCTCTGTTTTTTATGTTTTTTATGTTTTTTGTTGTTTATGTTTTTTGTTTGCATGTGTATGTCTTGCGTATCAGTATAATTTCTCCTATATATCGTCATCTCATTCCTTTATTCTTATCCTTCTTCACTCAGATATTGATACAGCAGCAGTGTTAATTGAATGTCCGATTGAAAGATCGAGAAAGCTTATTTCTTCATATGCAACATCTTCGCCATCATCATCGTCGTGCCCATTATTATTATTGTTATTATATTTTTTATCACCTCACAATCAATTGTCTCAATTCTACATATTCTGATTTCAATTTTAAATCGCAAACCTCGTTCAATCTATATATATATATATATATATATATATATATATATATATATAGGTTTTTATATAAATGAACTTTTATGTCAATTTTCTTATCAAATTGGTTTTATTCTAAAGCTTTTTTTGTTTTAATGTCGGTTTCGTTGTAGTCAATCAATCAATTAATCAATCAATTATACCATTTGATCATCAATCAATCAGTCGATCAACCTACCAATCAATCATTCGATCAATCAGCCAGTCTATCCAGCATTCAATCAACTAATCAATGTATGTTAATTTTTTATTCGCTTATTTAATGTGCTAACCACTCATCATCCATTTAGCGTTTCTTCATTCAGTTAATCATTCAATCGATTTATGAATTAAATACTCATCTATCCATTCATTCATGCATTCATTCACTCATTCGTCTCTATAAAGTTCTATTTTCAATTGATAAATGAAATGATTACTATGCTACAAGACATGCGTTCATCCTAAATGTCGTACCCCTATACACTTATACATATATATAAAAAGATATATATATATATATATATGTATAACATTTTAGATGTAATTTCATCTTTATATATATATATATATATATATTTTTTTCTAATATTTGGGCCAGATGTTTCATTCAATTTTATCTATGTATGTAATTAACGCGTTCTATATATATTAATATACATATATATATATATATAAATATATACACACAATTAGGTTATTTTAAGTATATTTAGTACATAAATGTAACTCCATGTTGTTTTAAATTATTATTGCCATTATTATTAGATTTTTCGTTCTATTTTTTTAAAACTGAGCTATTAATAGCCTCAATGTTTGCGTCATTTTAACTGCTTACTATAAATAGCACCAAAAAATCAATAACAACCTGTTCGTTTATGGTCTCCAGGTTGAATGGGTCACTTGCTATGAATATCTCAAACTATAAATTAATCTATTAATAGCCACATACGCAATGATTACGTCACGATTATTTACTATAAATAGAATTTTTGAAATTAAAACTTGGATACTTATTTATATGCTGATTAACACCTATTAAATTTAATTAATATAACATCGGGCTTATGCCTATGAATTTTAGTAGCGTATATATACATATATTATTTTTAATATTGCATATGTATAGATCTATATATACATTAGTTTAACTTACATTTCATATATTTAAAATGATTTCGTATATAAGCTTCATGTAAAATTGTGGTTTTAACATATATATATATATATATATATATATACATGTTCGTATGCGTAAGAAAGATGGGTTATTTATATGTCTAAACTTTCATTCGTTCATTCATTGATTTTAAAATTTATAATCTTTTAAAATTCTATTTATTTATTTATTCCTAGTTTAATTATTAAAAGTTTTGAATTGAAAAAGATGAATAATAAATTTATTAATTAAATAAAGTAAAATCATTCTTTTGTGTGTTTCCAGGATATTTAAAATCGTAATGTAAAAAGTAAATAACTAATATTATTTCCATTATTATTATTATGATCGTTACTTGTCCGTAATATGAACAATAACAAGACAAAACTGAATAACAAATATTAATAAATAAAACAATAATATTAATAATAAGAACAAAAACTACAATAATAACAAAGCAAAACATAACATGACAACATTGCATACATCAAGGGAACATACAATAACCAAATGACAAAATTTTACTACACACACACAGGCACACATACACATATACCTGCTTACTATTTCGATAACAATCTTACTCTTTTTGCTTTTTTGGCAGTATATATTGCAAATTTCATAATCAGCCAATCAAATTAACCCACCCACCAAAATAAATCATCATCCATCCAATCAAAACTATTCTTAACATTCTCAACCAATGGAAACTCTCTTTGCCATTGGATTAATTAGATAGTATATATATATGTATTCTGATCAATTCTTCTTCGACTTGCCGTGTTCGTACTTATTCTTACTTTGATGCCACAGTAAGTAGGGTATGGCCAGTGAGGGCAGGGTCATTATTACAAAGGCCGACCAATCAAGCTGCAAAAAATTAGGTCAACATGTTAATATAAGTAAGCATTCAAAAGCGGGTCAACATTTAATTAGGTCACCATATCAATATGCAATAGTATGAACATAGGTCATTACATGAATAAAGACCAACATTTAAATACAGGTCAGTATATTAATATGTTATAATATTAACTATAAATAGACCATAATATTAATTTTAAATAGATCATAAATTAAATTGGAAAAAGCAAAAATTTGGACAGAAAACAAATAAGAGTTGACAAATACATTGATAAACAAAAAGATGAATTTTAAAATCTAAATTAAATTTCTATAATAGCGGATAATAATAATAAATAAATAGATAATAATATAAAAATAAGCAATGACAACAAACCACATGGGCAGAAAATCTCCTATCGTAATCTTTGTAGTTCATGAAATAGCCTTCACCCAATGAACTTGTATAGCCAGTCTTTCCATGAAAAGTTAAATTAAATTGAAAAAATAATATTATTAAACGATAACAATAATGATATTTATTGTTACCAGATGTTAAAACATAAAACTAGGATAACAATTATAACAGACAATAACACTGCTGTTATAATTGTTATAACTGTGCCTAAAATATTTCTAAAAATGGCTACTGATTTAACATCAATATATAGACAAAATGAGTTCAACGGCATACCAAATTTTCTAAAAAATATTTTTGTAAATTATTTTGACGAAGAACAACAAAGTTTTGAAAGACCTCAAAATGTCTTGTTCAAGACCAACTTTTAAAGTTTATTAAAAGCCATTGCTAGAGTTGTCTTTTAGAGTTGTTTAAAACCAACATACATAGAATCCACGAAGAAGATTTTAATTATTGTACCATTCAGATACAATTACGGAAATGTTGGGGAATATTGATGAAGATTATAAAAATACAGCAAAAATTCTGCTATCTGGAAGTAAAGTTAACAAAGAATTATTAAAGGCATTTCCGGCAATTATTTCAACCCCAAGAAGAATGCAATTAATTGAAAGATTAGTAAGAACACAGGATACTAGTTTTTTTTAGAAATGTCAAAATTGTGGTTAGGTATTTTATTTTATATTTAACACAATATATTTATTTATATTTATATACTATATCTCTTCCTGCAATACTTTAATTTATAATGTCTATGCCTAGCTACTCCAAATTTTATCTATCTTCGAAATAAACAATTTTAAATCATGTTGCCTTTTACATAAAATATTTCATGGGGAATTGATATCAACCGACACAATTCTCACCGGATCAATAAAGCTGTTGCTCAAATCGCCATCGACAAGATCAGTGATTGATTGCATGTTCAGGATTAAAACTCCAAAACGTGAATACCGGTTCTGCAATATTTGTTTTTATGGGACGAAAAAATGGAACTCACTCCCGGACTACAGTAGTGCTCAAAAAATTGTGAACACTCACATATTTCATGGGAAACATGAATAAATTTGCTTGTGAATCGAACAGATTAAAATGTTTGGGTAGCAATCTTTCATCCTTAATTAGAACTATTATTCCTAACATAAATTATGAAGGTTTTGTAAAGTTTAAGGTTTTAATATAGGAGAAAAAAGAATATGAACCAGAGAACCGAAAATTAGCTAAAAATCTGGTAAATTGGAAGTTGTGAATTGAGCTTCAGTAATTCATCTTACTTACTATTTTATTGTCGTCTGGTAGCTATAAATACTCTATGGTTGTCTAGGTAACGCGTGGAAAAGAAATATTTGCAAAAGCTAGTTC